ACAGACCTCAGGGACCGTTTAGTCCTTGCTTTACTCGAATGAATCCCCAGTGTGACATGTCCAATGACAAGGGCTCATCTGAAGGCCTCGTGGCTGGAGCCCACCCTCTCTCCTCAAAGCCCCCTCCACCTTGAGCCAGTACTAACCCTCTTGAGTCGATGTCTCTTGCCATCAAGCCGAGATTTGCTTTCTGTTGCTTCTGCCCAAGATGAGGTTCAGTCCCTCCTGCGTGTGACAGCCTGTCCACCACCAGAGGTAGCTCTCATGGTCCCCAACACACCCAGCTCCATCAACCAGGTGCCACTATGTCATGGACTTCAGCCCCTTCACCACTTTGATCCTTTGATTATCTCCCCTGGCTGCTCTGTAGTTCATCTATGTCCTTTTCAAAATAAGGTGCCCAGAACTGAGGACAGGGCTCCAGCTGTGGCCTGCCTGGAAACCATATGGGCCTCACTTGATGCACTCACTCTTTAGGCTGCCATGACTACATCCTGACTCATTTTAAGCTTGCAGCTCACTAAGTAGGCATTTATTAATCACCCACTGTGTGCCAGGTACTGTTTTGAGCAGATGACCAGAGGCTGTGGGGAAGAACAGAGGTAGCCAGAGGCAGGTACAAGAGCTGGAAACAGAATTTGGCATGACTGTGAGAAAGAATTCAGAAAAAGACAACGGAGTAGGAAAAACTGACCCCTGAGGCACCAAAGCTCTGGGGAAGGAGTGTGATAGGCGATGTGGATGTGGCCAGATATCTTGGTACAATATGCATGATGTTATAGCTTCATTAGATTGACCCCCCATTATCTTCAAAAATGGTCCATGACCTCTAATCTGCTTTTTTTTTAAGGAAGTCATACTTTGTCTTAGGGAAAAAAATTTATCAGAACGCTACAATATGAATATATATGTGTGTGTGTGTGTTTATATATATATATATATAGTTACAATTATGAATATATGTGCATGTATTGCTGTTGTTCAGAAATTTCAGTTATGTCTCACTCTTTGTGACCCCATTTGGGTTTTTCTTGGCAAAGATACTGGAGTAGTTTGCCATTTCCTTCTCCGGCTCATTTTACAGATGAGGAAACAGAGGCAAACAGAGTTAAGTGACTGGCCCAGTGTCACAGAGCTAGTAAGTGCCTGAAGCCAGATATGAACTCAAGTCTTCCTGACTCCAGGCCTGGTGCTCTATGCCCTGCGCCCCCAGCTGCCCATGTGTATATGTACAGATATACACATGCATGTGTGTATATACAGAGAGAAAGAGCCGTGGCTCTACTTGCTAAAAATAATAAAGGAACACATGCTAATACCGCATTCGTGTTCTCTATACCAGAGCATTTATTATTAGAATGCACATTCTGGTGTCCGTTATCTAGCAAAGTCACATATGTAGAACACCCATTTCCATGCTGGTATCTGACAAACGGGACACGGGCATTTGGTCTTGTATCGTATTTCACAAGCGGAGACATGGCCCACATCTCGCCAAAGCAGTTCGTGGAAATGGACGGTGTCTCTTGGGGTTCTGGGTGGTGGCTCCATGTTCAATGAGAAACGAAGGTGACGGGTGCTGAGAAGGAAGTGATAGGGACCAGGGAGGACTGGTATGATTTGGGTGAACTCTTTGACATGAGCCACAGGATAATATTCTTTAATGAAGTCTGGAACTCTCATAAACCAGAACCTTTTCTATTTTGAGTCTTGCTAGAAGCATTGTCGGCTTTTCAGGATCCATTGGTTTCTAAGGGCAGCTCGGCCTGGCCCTGATGAGTCAAGCAGATGTCACGTGACCTTTGTACAGTTTTAGCAGAGTTGGCACTTTCTTCAGGCTGATTCAGAAGGCTTCCCTTTGGATTCCCCAAGGATGCAGAGAGAGAGCCTCGAGTTGCCTCCCAGGCATGTGACCCAGCACTCCTCACAGGGTCCGAGGCAGCAGAAGCCTGGAAAATTCAAGCCTTCCTTGCTCCAGCTGTTTGGTGTTTGAGGCCCTGTAGACCAGCCTCTGTCATCTGGGGTGCCAGGACCATAATGCTTTGACTGGAAGGGATGTTAGAGGTCTCCCAGCCCTGCACCCTCATTGGACAGGAAGAGGCCCCGAGGAGTCCCCAGCTTTCCAAGGGCCAAGCAGTAACCAGTGACAGAGATGGGATTCACAGTTCTGTGAACATCCAGTCTGCCCCTCCTCTTTTCATTGCTCCACAGAGAGATAAGCCCAATGTCAGCCCGGTGGACGTGGCATTGAATGCCATGTTGGTCAGCAAGAGAACCCAGGGGGTTAATGGCCATGAAGGCATCAGGCAGGACTACTGGGCCGAGTTGGGCGATCTGTATTCGTAGACGTTGCCCACTAGTCTCTAGTGCGGAGAGGAACACCATACTGAGGAGAGGTAACCATGATGGCTTCCAAGTGGGAACAGCCAGCATGGATTCGTGACCCCTGAGAGGTCACGGTTCACAGATGACACTGCCCGAACCCCAAAACGTCCCCACAGACAAGGGACACAGGAAGTGTGGTAGAGTGGAGAGAACTTGGCAGAATATTTGTCTGATGCTCGCGGCCCGTGTAATGCTGGGCAAGTGAGTTCCCTTCCCTGGACCTCTGTGTCCTCATCTACAAAATGTGCGGTCCCTCCCAGCTCCAGGTACAGGAGCCGGAGCCTTTCTGAGCTTCAGTTTCCTCCTGTGTCAGTCGAGGAGTTTGGACAGCCCCGATGTCCTTTCCAGATCCAGACCACACCCTCATTTAAGTGTGGGCAAATTCACAGAAGTTTGGGTCTTGTTCAAGTCACATGGCTAGTGAGCAGCAGGGCAGACTTGAACCCAGGTCCTCTTTCTCTCGATCTGTCCTTTCTGCTCTTTCATGGTACCCATATTATTATCATCATCATCACCATCATCATCACTGGAATAGAGAACCATTTAATTAGAGCTGGAGGGACCTTAGAATTCACCCTCTTTTTACAAGTGAGGAAGCCATAGCAGAGAGCTGGAATGACTTCCATGTGGGAGATGGGGAATGAGCATTTATTAAGCACCCACTGTGTGCCAGACCCTGTGCTAAGCACTTTACAAATAGTAGCTCATTTGCATCAGCACCAGCCCCAACATCCCCCTGCTGCTCATGGCCCCTTCTGATGGCTCGTGCTCCAGGTCTCCAAGCAGAGGCTGTGTTGAAAAAATGTGCTGTTGTAAGGTGTGGCTTGGGAAAAATGGCCTCCGAGCGCCAGCTCTGAGATTCTGTGAGCACCGACCAATGATGGGGTATGTGTCTACTGTACAAGGACAGCAGGTTGAGTCTAGAGGCTGTGCCCTGTTTGGCAGCAGTGATGAGGACTCTGACCCCAGCAGCTAGAGGCAGCAAGGTGTGAAGTGGATAGAGCTCTGGGGTCAGGAAGACCTGAGTTCAAATCCAGCCTCAGACACTTCCTACCTGTATGATCCTAGGAAAATCACTTAACCTCTGTCTGCCTCAATTTCCTCAACTGTAAGATGGGGTAATAATAGTACTGACCTCCCAGGGTGATTGTGAGAATCCGATAACATATTTGTAAAGTGTTTAGCACAGTGCCTGCCATATTCATTGTTTGGTTGTGTTGACTCTTCGTGATCCCATATGGGGTGTTCTTGGCAAAGATACTGGAGTGGTTTGCCATTTCCTTCTCCAATGGATTAAGGCAAACAGAAGTTAAGTGACTTGCCCACGGTCGTGCAGCTAGTGAGTGTCTGAGGCTGGATTTGAGCTTAGGGCTCCTGACTCCAGGTCCAGCACTTTCTCTATCCACTAAGCCGATTAAGGCAAACAAAAGTTAAGTGTCTTGCCCAGGGTCCCGCAGCTCCTCTGGGTGCTTCCAGCTCTCCCTTGATGGTCCTGCAGCTGCAGAAGTTCACAGGTGAGTGGTCAGCTCCACAAGTGGGACAGCTCACTTCTCCTCTTTCCATCTCAGCCAGCCTGAGCTCCCTTAAGGAAATCCTTTTCTTCAGCCAAAGGAGTCCCTTTGTCTCCCAAGCTCACTTTGTGATTTTTCCCTCCTAGGATTCTCTCTCCCCTTTGTACCATCTCCACCTATTAAAAACTTTCCTCTCTTTTGGGTCCACCTCAAATATCACCATTTGTATCATGCTGTTTGCCCTCTTCACTCATGCCCCTTGCCACCTGGCTGGCTCCTGGGGTGCCCTGAATTATTCCTTGGGCATAAATCTGTTCCATTCACCTCAGGTCAAATCTGCACAAGGTTAGAGGCCATGACACAGACTTCCTGCCACTCCCCACTTCTCCCAGGCTCTTGTTTACAGTGGGCTTCATGATTGTTTGAGGAAGGCTGGCAATCAGGAGGGAAGGGATTGGAGCGCAACGGCTCTGTGGAGCTTCAAGTTAGCTTTGTCAATACAAAGCATATGGTCACAGAGAAATGTAGACACCCCATCCAGTCTGTCACCCTTTGGCTTGAGGCAGGCATGGGTCCATATTGGTGCCCTACCACACCTGATGCAGGCATTGGGGCATATTTTGGTGATGTATGATTTGGCTGGTGACTATATCAGCTCTGTCTAGTCAGCAAGGCAAGCTAGTCCTTCCCAATGGGTGTCTAGAGTGGACAGATTTTTTTGTGGAACACAAACTGTGCACCATGTGCAATCAGACAGCTTTCACTTCCATCGCAGCTCTGCCATTTACTGGGCCTGTGCTGTTGGACAATCTATTTGAACTCCCTCTTCCTCATCTTCATCATCTGTGAAATGGGGCAGTAATGCCTGCCCTGCCTACCTTAAAGGGGTGTTGTAAGGATAAAATGAGATCATGAAAGAGGTATTGCCCTTTTTCCATTTAACCCCAGAAGGAAGGATAGACATTTCAACGAGACATGTTTACGCTTAATGTATGGAAAATGTAAAAACAAAACAAAAACTTCCCGAGAGTGAGAGCTGTCCCAGGGTGGAGCAGACTGCTCCAGGAGGCAGCAGATGACTTTTTTTTAAGGAGGGGCACTTTAAGGAGAGCTGGGTGGCGATTCATTGGGGGTTCTACAGAGGGGATTCTCATCCAGCTCAGTGTTGGACAAGATCACTCTGAACTCCCTCCAGCTCGAAAGTTCCCTCTTGGCCTATATTTCTTCTTGCCCCCCCCCGCCATGCATTTCATCTGTGTCCACGGCTGTCCACCCATCCCCAGCAGAATGCAGGCTCCTTGAGATCAAAATGTCCTTTTTAAGTCTTTGTACTCCTAGTGCTGAATCCAGAACTGTGTGTGGAGAAGTCACTTAATAAATGTTGATTAAATCGAAATAAATGTTTTACTTTAGCACCGTAATGTGGGATATAAAACACTTGCACATCACATGTACTCCCATCCAAACACACACACGTACACACCCTTATTTTCCTTTGTCTGATCAATGCAGCCGTGGCCACTGCTGTCACTGCTGAATCTCAGGACAGTTAGATCTCTGTAAGATGCCAAATTGGAGGACTGCAGAACTGTACATTGCCTGGCATCCCAGGTCACCCATTTGGGGTCTCTGTTTTTTGGCAATGGGCTCCTTTCGTCCCCCTCAGGGTCTGCCCCAGTCTGGGGGTTGGCTTTTTTTGCATACATTTCCTATTCCAGAAGCTTCCCATTGGCAGCCTCGAAAAGGAGCATTTAGGAGAAATATATTATTCCAAATCACTATTTAATTTAAAGAGCTATTAATATTTCTTTCTTCCTTCCACACCCAGCTTGCCCGTGTGTTAGCTGCTGGCAGCTTAACCATGTACCAGGAGCCCGTGATTGGGGATGGGTGAATAATGTTTTACTTAGGGGGGGAATTGCTGTCTGGTCATCGTCATCCTTGTTCCTCTAATACTGAGAAAGTCAGCATGAAACAGAAGACCCTTTTTAAATTTTTTTTCCGTGATATTACAGTGGGCCTTCCCACAAAAACATTCCACCTGGAAACAGAGTCTCCTCTTTGCTACATCGTAACCTGCCTCTCTGGAGGAAAGTTGCAGTTTTGTATATTCCAAACCCCATTATTTCTTTAATGGGGGAAGATACATTGGTAAGAGACAGAGTATCTAAGAAAGTAATTAAAAAAGTCATTGACAATGTGCAAATAGTAACAGGGAGAGAAACAGACTACTTTCTCTGATCTGTAAAATAAACAAATACTGTTGTTTGGCGACTTCTTGTTGAATGTAGGCACCGCCTCCAATGGGGAGCCTTAGCCCAGGATCCTGAGTCTGGGGTCCGTGAACTGCTTAAAAATACAGTTTGATAACCGTGTACCAATAGAAGTGGCTTCCTTTGTAATCCCGTGCATTTAATTTTATGCATTTAAAACCATCATTCTGAAGAGGGGCTTGTAGGCATCACAAGACTTCCAAAGGGGCCCATGACACACAAAAAGGTTAAGAGACCCTGCCTCACAGCTCTCCTGAATATCTTGTATTTAATAACAATAACAACGATGATGATGATAATCGCTAGCATTTATATAATAATTTATACATATGATTTATATACATTCACATATGATTTATAATTATCCCTAGCATGTATATAATAATGGTTTGCGAAGTACTTTCGAATATCATCTCATTTTGCCCTCACAACAATCCTGAGAGGATTTTATAAGTGAGGAAGCTGAGGCTAAGTGATATGCCCAGGGTTACACAGCTAGTAAGTAACTGAGGCAGGATTTTAACTCAGATCTCTCTGACTCCAGCTCCAGTGCTCTGAGGCTCTGCCCTCCAGGAACTTATAGGTCAAAGAATGAGACATCTTATATGAATTAAGACTTTCAAGACAGAGTAGATGGGAGACATCCTTAGAGGGTATGGCAAAGGTTACACCTTTGACACTAACAAAAGAAAGAAATCCCCCCATGATCTCCCCCCCACCCACTTTCCCAGGCTTGTCTCATGTTGTCCCTTTCTCCATGTGCTCTCTCTCTCTGTCTCTGTCTCTCTGTCTCTGTCTCTGTCTCTCTCTGTCTCTCTGTCTATGTCTCTGTGTGTGTGTGTGTGTGTATGTGTGTATATATATATATATATATATATATATATGTATATATACTGAAAGTGACCCATTAGCTCTTCCCTCTCCTGGCTCTGTACTTTTGCACATGGGGTCCTCCCCTCTCTGATGTCCTCTTATTCACCTCCATCTTGTAGCTTTCCCAGCTTCCTTGGGGGCACCACCTAGGTGCCACCTTCTGCTAAGGACTGTCTTAATCTCATCAGTAATTAACAGGAGCTTTTTCTAGCCTTAGAGTGCATTCCTCTGTTGTATATTTTGTCTTTAATTAGGTACATGTTGTACCCCCTCCTGGCAAAACAGAAGCTCTTAGAGGTCAGGCGTTGTTGTTTCATGGTTGTCTTGTGTTCTTAGGACCCAGCATAGGACCTTAATAAATGCTTTCTGTAATTGAATTGGAGGGAAAGCAAACATCTCTCCAAGGAGCAGGGGGAAAGCATGTGTGCTTCTCCTCCATCACAGGCTGTTTGTTCCCTTTGTAAAAGCCTTCTCTTATTTCCATTAAATCTTGTACCCAAAACATCTTGACAAAGGGCCCTATTGAAAAGTCCCAGAGAGGTGGCTACATGCCTGGTTTAAAGAACACACCAGACCCCAGGAAATCCAGGTCACACTGCCCTTTGTTTCAGAACCTCTTTCCTCCTTGGCAAAACAGGGTAGTGGCTGCTGGGGTGGGGGCACGGTAAGTGATAGCATGAGCCCTCAAGGTCCTGGGAGTCCGATTAGTGGATTCCTAGGGGGTTCTACCTTGTTAGTTGTGTGACCTTGGAAAAGCTGGCGTCAGTCTCTGGGCAGAGCTCCCTCCTCGTCCAAATGAGCGCAGTGACATTTACTTAGCAACGTTGTTAGAAGGATCAGCTGAGACCTTAAAGGCAGGAGGACAGGCGTTCAAGTCCTGCCCCTGACATGTCATTTCCTCTTTGATCCCAACCTCAGGGGCTCCTCCAGGGCTGTGCTGGGACTCTGTAAGTGAAGCATCTCACAAACTCTCTAGTGTATGTTATTTCTATGCAAAACCCTTGCAAGCTGCAAAGCTACCTACATGATAAAAGCTGATGCCCGTCAAAACATGATAAAGTGACAATGGTGGTAAAGCCAGTTAATGATCAAAAATAAACACATCCGTATCTGTTTTTCTCATTCCACAAAGTGCTTTGGAAAGTGGCCTCTGAGCATAAGCAGAGCTCTTTGGAGGCGGTGCGTGAGATACATTTGTATGCGGGTTCTTCTCTTTCCGTGGCAGGTGGCCCGGCGCTGGGGCATTCAGAAAAACAGACCGGCAATGAACTACGACAAGCTGAGCCGATCTCTCCGCTATTACTACGAGAAGGGCATCATGCAGAAGGTGAGCAATGCCGTGCATCCCGAAGAGCCCCCGAAAGGTGCCCCTTAATACGCGAGTCAGGCCTGAAACACCACACGTTACGCTCTGGGTGAAACGAGGCTTTTGCAAATTTTGACAAATGCTTAGCTCTTAGATTTAAAAATTACAAGCCTGTCTATTTATAGTCTCAGGTCTGCTGCAGCCCAGTGTATGTTCACATCCCCGAGATGTAGGCTTTCTTCAGCCCTGAGAGGCTGCTTCCTCCGCTGATGGGTGGCATTGGGTTTTCAGTGAGTTCTTACTGGTTTGTCCTCATCACCGAGGGCGTCTGAAACACTCTGGGGAGAAGAGAAGGGGGAATCCAGGCTGCTGGGGTATCACTGGTGCTCTGTTCTTTTCTTCCTGGTATTGACAAAGATTCTTTGAAAAACTCTCCTATGCACCTTGGATTCTTGCCTCTTGTTTTTATGAGCTTGGGGCTCACATCCTGAAACAGGTCCTCTTAACTGGAGGGCGCTGTGGGAATGGCCACTTTCAGGAAGTATTTCACGTGGACTAGTGGTGTAAATACTAACGAAGGCATTGGATTGCTGTTAAAGATCTTTGTACGTTCCTTTTTAAACTGGGGCATGGTAGGCTGAGGGGCATCTTGGCTTGGTGGCTACAGGCCAAGACCTGCAATCAAAAAGACCTTCCCCTGACCTCCAGTGGCTCCATTACCCTGAGCAAGTCTCGATCAGCCAGCAAGCACTTAATCCACTGAGCTGGTCTGTGCCAGGCAATCAAAGGCCCAAATGAGCCACTGCTCTGGAAAGCTGTTTGGGGCTTTGGGGTTTGGAGGAGACAGGGGTTTGGGTGCACACAACCTGTACCCAGAGTAGTCCAGTCGAGTCAACTGGCATTTGTTAAAGGCCTGAAGTCCTGCTCCATTAGGCATTATGCTAAGCTCTGAAGATCCAAGGGAAGAAAGAGACCCTGTTGTCACGCAGTATAACATCAGTGTCTGTGTTATACACATACACATACGCACAATGCATACACACATGCACACACACACATGATTTCTACACACAGCTCCCAGGATGTTTGTCCATTATTTAGGTTTTCAGACCTGGGTTTGTTTTTTTTTTTTTTTAAATACATTCGCTATTACCAGAGGGAATAGTGGTCCTGCTTTATCAATGGGAAACCCTTTGGTACTCACGTCCACATGGCCAGCATGGCTGGTGTTCTCCATGGCATTTCATTTTCCCAGGATCTCAGACTGGCCCTGAGCATATGGCAATCCATGTCAATACCTGTTCATGGGAAATTGCTAAGCCACTCATTTCCTTGACCAGGATTTTCTTTTCCCCTGGTGCAAACTTTCAAGACAGCAAGGTATGGACACTAGAACCCTGGGCCTGTAAGCAGGCAAATCTGTGTTCAGATCTCACCTCTAACATCTGGAACTGTGGGACCCAGGGCACTCTGAGCCTCAGGCAGACTGACTTGCTGAATCAGAGGTGGGCCAGGCTCTCCGTTCTGGCAAACTAACTCTTCTTCTCTGGGTTGTTGGGGTGGGCATTTCTCTCCCATGTTATCTTCAGGTGGCTGGAGAGAGATACGTCTACAAATTTGTTTGTGATCCTGAGGCACTTTTCTCCATGGCCTTCCCGGATAACCAGCGCCCACTTCTGAAGACAGACATGGAGCGTCACATCAATGAAGAGGATACGGTACCTCTGTCCCACTTTGATGAGAGTATGGCCTACATGCAAGAAGGCGGCTGCTGTGACCCCCACCCTTACAATGAAGGCTATGTATACTAGCTACCGGGACAGCGTGGCTGGGAGATGGGCCCCTCCCAGGCCTTTTCCTTTTTCGCCAAACATGGAGAAGAAAAGAGGAAAACACTTCATTTTGTTTTTTTAAAAGAGTAGTCACACACACTCACACACACACACACACACACACACACACACAGGGGTTTTTCCTGTTGCATCATCCTATGGTCTGCCATGGACAGAGCACTTTACTAGAGGGGGGGAGGGGAAGAATCTAAACATTGATTTGGTGTAACAGGAAGAAAGTGGGGGTGGGGGGTGGGGATTACTTTTTACATAGGTGTGGGAAGGGGTCATACAGGTTTGAAGTACAATGAAGCTATATCACGTCTGTTTTGTTTCATATCAACATAAGATAATGTACATTTTCTCTGGGTATCCACAGTACAGTTAATTCTCGTTGTATGAATAACCACTGGGAGAATCTTGGCAGAGGAACGAAAATGCCTTGAGCATTTGTCTTGTCATGTCTAAGAATCTGCAGGTGTCGGGGAGAAGCTCCCTGTGCACACGGCTGGGTTTGCTTATTGGGCGTGGCTGGCTTTGCACCGACTCCTTTTCAAGATATATTTAAATACTGCCATGAGCATCCTCTGTCTTTTTTTGACTTTGTTTTTGCACCTGGTTCCCAGAAAATCCATAAAGTGGGGAATTTTCCCTGAAGCTGATTATGTCCAGCACAGCCCGTTCCTGACTCTGGCTCCCCAGTGGAGCTACAGACTAATTAATAGCAAAATGCATGTATTTGGACACAGCCTATCGGATCTCTTAGGTGCGGGGAAGCCCACCACAGCGAAAGAGGATGTGGGGTTCCCTGATGCTCAAAACGCTGTCAAGTCTGGGATGTTGGCAGGGGTGGGGGAGAGAAGGTTTATTTATTGTCTTTCTCCCACAATACAGAGAAAAGTTATTTAGCCAATAAGAATTAACTGTACTCAGTCACATATCTACTTCCGCTGTCATAGACGCGGTGTGCATTCCTTGAGAAAAGACTATCCAATACACTGACTAGGTACTTTAGTAATTTTTAGACACGGTACCCATGAATATGCATTTAAGCCTTTTTCTGCTGTGTTATGTTGATGACATATATAAACACTAGGTAACGCTAATGCTTCTGCTGCTGCCTTTTCTGTCATGTTCTCTTTGAGGCTGAATTGACAACGACCATCGATAAGCAATGCCGTTAACTACAGGTAGCATTTCAGGACAAAATAGATGACTTGAAACATTTATTGCTTAGAAAATAGCTTATGCCATAGCTGGACTCTCGGCAGCTTTCCGTGCATCCACAAATGAATCACGAGCTTCAGCTTGCTTGAGGGATGCTCTGTGGGGACTTTGGTCACTTTCGATGGAATGGGGACTCATTAACAGACTGTCCAAGAATACATGGAAGTCGCGGTATGATGTGGTGGTGCTGGCACTGATGTTATCCATCACCTTGTCTTGGATGCGCAATGGACATGGGTTTGGAAGAAGATTTAAAGTTTTGGGGTGTTGGTTTTTCTTTTTCCTTTCTTTTTCCTTTTTTTCTTTTTTTTTTCCTTTTGGGAGAATCATGAAAGCTGGATGTTTTATTCCACTTGGGTTGAAAAAAAAGAAATATCAGAAATGTTGCATTTTACTATTTATGATCACCTTTCTCCAAGTTCCCTTTCTCAGTTCAAAGAAAGAACATGAGATTTGGGGGATTTGGGCAGACTGGAAAGCAGGGTACTTCTGAGGAAACCAGTTGGTCCTCGGTAACCAACTCTTAGAAGAATGTTGCTGATTGCACCACCAGAGTGACACCAAGGAGTCTCCCTGAAGAGCAGAGGGACATGAATTCTCTCCCACACATCTCCACTCTGGGTGGCCATTTAAAGCTCCAAATATAGCAGTGATGGGGGACCCCAGATACAATAAATGAGACCCATACTCTGTACAATGGACGTTCAATCCTATAAGTAACATATTATAGGCATGTGTTCTTATGTGCACGTGAATTGGAATACTGGGCTAATGGGGATATCTTGAAAATTAGTTATATATATATATGTATATTTTTTTTGTCCCTCCTACCCTGAGCTCTTGTGGCCATTAACTTCACTTAAAATAAAATAAAGAAAGAAGACTCAGCATACATTTTGTTGGGATGGAAATTTGGATCTACAAAGGAAATCCACTTGTAAGGGCTTCATGGAAAGGTCTATCCAAATAAGTGTGCCTGGAGAATTCTTGGCTAGTTGGGCTTCTTTATGTCAGTGTAGAGAGCAGCTCTAATCTGGAGCATAAGGGGATCAAACACAGTATCTGCATCCATTATGTAATTAATATTTAAGGATAAAAATATATGTTATGCTGTATAAGGTAGTGACTCACTGAATGAAACAAGAAACCAGTCCAATGTTAAGTCATTTCCCAGCAAAAGAAGGAAAAAAATATAGAGCTATATATATTATATTTCATCGAACTTTCAACTCTTTTGAAAAAAATGTACCTAAAGATTTATTTAAAATTTTGTTTTTATTCCACTTCAGTTTGGTTTTGTTTTCGGGTAGATTAATAAACCTGGCAGCTGATTTCTGCAAGGCTGTGGCGTTTTGAATTTCTTCCTGACTTTGGCTCCTAGCACGTGGAAGGTGATGAGGGGTAGTGCTGTCGTGCCATCCTGGAGACACGAAGCCTGCGGATGTCTTCAGTGGGGGTTGTTGCCTCCTTATACATGGCTTAAAGGCAGGTTGGGGGCCATGAAGCAAGGTTAACTCTCAAAACAATTATGAGAACAGAATCTGTGCCATTGTGTGAAAAAGGCATTCTCTTAAAGGGCCACAAATTTGTCCCTGGGAAAAAGAGAGACAGAGACAGAGAGAAAGAGAAAGAGAAAGGGAGAGAGAGAGAGGGAGAGCGAGAGAGAGAGAGCCCTAGAATTTGAAGCCTGGGCATTATTCTTATTTTCACATGAGAAGGCGAACAGTCAGATGAGTGATGTGTGTGACGGCAATGGCCGGCTGGGTCCCATGCCACAGATTCTCAGTACGGTCTTCTTCCTTCTTCTAAGAGACCCCAGGACTGCAAGCGAGGCATGCACAGACCATCTAATTTTGCATTTGGAATCTTCCTTCCATACATTGCTTCTCACAATGTCACTTGGCTGCCCTTCCTGTAAAGGTACCAGGCATCACTTCCTTTTTTTCCTTCCTGCCGTGCCTACACTCTATGGAAGCATTTGGTTACATCGTCATTTTGGGATGCTTTTTAATGTCTCTCCCCTTAGTAAGTACTAGGTAACAACAGGGAAATGATCCCAACTCTTCCCAGTGCATCAGTCCAGGCACTTTTTTTCCTCAGACATAGGATGGTTGCTTGGTTCTTTTCTTAGAGTGTAAAACTTAGTACAAAAGCCCATTGGATTGGATTGGAGTATTGCATGAAATGGGGGATTTATACAATTAGTTATTGGGTAAGCTTTGCCTAGATAAAATGTCAACAACAAAAAAGACGATTCTAAAATTTGAATACCATCATCCTTAGTTTGCTATAATGACACAGAAATAATGATACACTTATTTTCTGGGTGCTTTTCTAGTAAGATGAGATACTTTGTCCAGCCAGTGGTTAAAGAAATCTTGAAATAAGCCACTAGAGCCCAGTGCCCTGCACAATGCAGAATTGAATTTGGCTGTCCATGCTGGGGTATTTTCCCAAGCTTTTAGCGGGAAATGCTAAAAGTGATAATAGGTGTTCAAACATCACCTCCCTGGAAGGCTTAAGCTATCAAAACAACTCATCTGGAATAATACATAACAAAACTATTTTTCAGATACAGCTTGGTATGAAAAAGCATGGAATCAAAGCCAGTATTGTTGATAACAGGAATATACGAGACACCAATATAAAGCAATGACAACATAAATTGTAACGAGGCAATTCGACCATACATCTGTTCTATATTGAATTGGATGGAAATGTTTGGTTGGTTCTCTCTACATAGTGCCATCTTATCAGTGGGTAGAGAAATATTTCTGGGTGTTGGCTACTGGCGTGATCAAGGAAGCAAGGCAAGGTGGAACAACTGAATATTTTGATGCATTTCATTTTGACCCAAGTTGTACTAACTCATCTTTGTCTAATTTTGTGGAGAAGGATTAAAACAGCCACAAAAACGCAAGTAAATTTGAGTTCTAAGAAGGTCTTTTGATAGGAAACAAGGTTGAGGGCCACTTCATATGCATAATTATGATTGTGAAATCTACATATTAGTCTGGACTATGTATGGAACAAATAAATTCATGGACAAAGATATAGACAGTCATTTTAAAAAAGTATGGAATCCAATTCCCAAATTATATCCATTCAAAAATTGCATGTTTATTAGGTTTTTTTTGGGGGGGGGGAAGTCACTCCAAGATGTATTGAAATTATGCTTAAGCTTTTTTTTTGTTTGCAAATTGGCATAATACAAAAATAGCTATTCTGATAAAATATTCATAATACTCAAAATAGGAAAAAAATAAAATGAGGAAATTGGAAAAAAAGCAGAAAGTGTGGTTGTTGTGAGGAACAAATGAGATAATATGTAAAACACTTTAATATTATTATCATCATTATCATCATCATCTCTGACTCCATCCCAACCAAATCAGAGCAGCAGTGAGTTGGGAAGCAAGCCTTCATGCTCTCTTGGTTCAGTTAGTTTGTACTCCTAACGACTACCTTAACCATCCTCGTTTGCTGTCAGGATCAACAATGCCTTCTCTTCATATTTCAGGTTCCGTTTATTCGAACTAACCACTTTGTGGGCATCTTTGGTCATAGGGAGACCTGATAACTCCTCTTCAGGTTTAATCCAGTGGATCTTTGAATTGGAAGGAAGGAGGGTAGTAATGGGCAGCACCCTGTGCCCTGATCTCAGAGAAGGCTGGCCAGGCTGCTGGGCAGGAGTGGAGGACAGAGGCAGCAGCAGCCTGCTCCCAGCATCAGTGAGGCCACATGTCTAGTCTCTCATTCTGCTACTGGCATCAGAGAAGAACCAAAGCCTTTCGAAAGGAAGCACCATCCGAATTCTGATGGAATGGAAGCTCATTGCAGGCAGGCACTACAGCCTCAGGGGGTGGGATGTGGCCCAAACACCTGTGTTCTGATCCCATCTCTGCCTCGATAACCCAGGGTGAACCAGGGTGACCCGGCTCTGTCAGATGAGGAAACCACTTCCTTCCCAGACTTCTGAGGCACCCAAATGCTTCGTAAAGCCCAAGGTGCTTGGCACACATTCATTAGTAGAATTATGATCAGTGATCTGATGTAATGCCAGCTTTGGAGTCTGAAGGAATCTAGTTCCGTGAACTTGTTCTGTTACTGTCGTTCAGTCCTTTTCAGTCATGACCAACTCCTCGTGACCCCATTTGGGGTTTTCTTGGCAAAGATACTGGAGTGGTTTGTCATTTCCTTCTCCAGCTTACTTTCCAGAAAAGGAAAGTGAGGCAAACAGGGTTAAGTGACTTGCCCAGGGTCACACAGTGAGTCAGTGCCTGAGGCCAGATTTGAACTCATGTCTTCCTGACTTCAGACCTTGTGCTCTATCTACTGTGCCATCTAACTGCTCTCATTTTACAAATAGGGAAATGAAGGCCAAAAGGTTTATTAACTTGCCTAGGGCTATGCTGGAAGCAAGTGCAGAATCAGCATTTCAATTCCGATCTCGTGCTTTTGAACCCACGGCTCTTTCTTCTTCAAGGTTCTTGTCTATACGGGCAAATGTAGCTTGGAGGGGGGGAAATCAATCCAAGCAAAGCTCCTCTTTAATGGTCATGTTTGCTTTTAAAATAATTGCTTAATTGTCTGAATGTGGAGATTTTATAAGCCTCCTTTGCCAACTTAAGGAGTTATACATGATCACAAGACTTATAAATCAGATTGTTTGGGCTGTTTGATTTTGGAGGGTCAAAAGGCAAAACTGACCAGTCTGATTGAGATTGAAGCAGGGAGGAGACATTTTACAAAGAATAAAACCTAAGATAGCTCCCTTCCTATCCCCTCCCCATGTCCCACCTAGAAGATGGGGTTGTGGGGGGGGGGCATACGCCATGCATCAAACTTTTGTTTTCTACTTTATTATAAACTAAAGTCTGAGATAACAATAAGTTTAGAAGCAAAAAATTCAGAGACAGGCAAATGTTAGATTTTTTAAAATTATATAAATTTTAAATTAGACCATAAATTTTTTTTCCCACATCTTTAGATTGAAATACTAAGCACTTCCTAAATTAAATAAAAAGAACACGATATGTGGAGAAAATTGAAATTGTTATAAATCCCTTTGAAAAAATAGATCAAGTATACACAAGGAACTAACACAAATATATAGGAAAAGGGCACATTCCATAACAGGTATGTTCTTAAGATATGAAAAAAAATCTGTTCTTTAAAGAATTACAGACTTATTAATAACATTATGAAAATTATTTCAAATAATTTACAGGGAAAGAAATGTAACTCAAAGTAATTCAGGTTTCACTTCACATCACACAATTGGCAAAGATAACAAAAGACAGAACAGTTAATGTTGGGATGGTAAAGTGGCTTTAGAAAGATGGGCAATGTAAAGAATCTTTGAGGGGACTTTGAAGTGGTCCAAGTCTTCTGAAATGATCCCCGCCATCTGATCAAGATATGCTAGGCATAGGCCCCATTGTGATGGATGACCGAAAGAAAGGTCTCAGATACACCAAAATAATCATAGCAATTTCTGTAGTAGCAGAAAACTGCCCGCAGGGTAATAGCTCATCATTTGGAACATGGCTCAATGACTTGTGGTCCAAGCTAATAAGAGCTTGTATTTATTTAGCACTTTATGAAAATCCCCTGGATCCTGACAATAACCTTGGGAGGGAAGTGCTATTATCATGCCCTTTTTACTTCATAGAATTATACTGTTATTCCAGTTTTATAGATAAGGAAACTGAAACCGAGAGAGATTAAGTGATTTTCCCAGAGTCACACAGCTAGTAAGTTTCTGAGGCAGGATTTGAGACTTTTCAGTCTCAAATGTGCTCTATATGCATTGCACTACCCAGCTGCCATAATAGTAAGAACTAGCATTTACATAGTGATTACAGATTTTTAAAAGCACATTACAAAATGTATCTCATTTGATCCTCAAAACATTTCTCAGAGAAGGTGTTGTTGTTATTCCCATTCTGCAGATGAGATAACTGAGGCTAAGAGAGGGAAATTAAGTGACTTGCCCCCAGGGTCACACAGAAGAGAGAGAGAGAGAGAGAGAGACAGACAGACAGACAGACAGACAGACAGACAGACACAGACAGATAGAGAGGAGAGACAAAGAGGGAGAGAGAGAGAGGGAGGAAGGAAGGGAGGGAGGAAGGAAGGAAGGAAGGAAGGAAGGAAGGAAGGAAGGAAGGAAGGAAGGAAGGAAGGAAGGAAGGAAGGAAGGAAGGAAAGGAAAGCAGAGATGGAGGAAGGAGGGAAACAGTAAGTTAGTAAAGGAAGAAGAAAGAAAGGGAAGAGGAAGGATGACTGTCCTTAATAGGCTTATATTATATTAAGGATAATGCAACGTGTATACAGA